TTTGTCGCGCCCGCCCCCCCCCCCCAAACAATACAGCTCTCTGCGGACCTTCCCACTAACAAAATCATTACCAATAAGAAACAGCCAAAACCAGAAAGTTATAGAGGTGGCTGAATGGTACAGCACAAACCTTGTATTAAAAAGAAAGGAGCACCCCAGGAGATGCCATGGCCTGAAGAAGGACACTTACAGCGTTTAGCCCACAAAGCTGGTAGCAGCCCATGGTGACGACCACGGTAATGACCTGCCATCGTGCAGCGCGGGTTCTCAGGAGCTGAAGTATGGACACTAACTTGGTGTTTCTCTGGACTTGAGACTCTGCCAAAACTTCTTCTAGTTCATGAGACACGTCATCCTTCCCAAGGAAGGTCTGAAATGCTACAAAGAGAGGACACATACTTCAGGCCAGACACTTAGCACTATGTGCATTTATAACAGGCTTGTTTCATAGAAATGGAAATGTATGACACAAACACGAGACATACATGTGCTACAACGTAATTATTCTTCTCCCAACAATAACATTCTGCTCTGGGTATGATCTGGCTCATCCCTGCAATTGGTCTCAGAAATGCAACAAGAATATAAATTATTTGGCACCCTACCAGATCTCTCCTTGTATTATTTCACATATAATACAGCCTAAGGTCCAGTGCAGAGTCAAAACCCTGTGTAATCTGAAAAAAGGGTTTAATAGCAAAGCAGTTCTGAACATTATTTGACTTGGCTACTTTTGAGCCTAACAATATAGCAGACTTCATTGCTGGAGACAGATTGGATAGAGAAGCAGTCACATGTAAAAACATATGTAAGTCTGGTAAACCAAGAAAAGGCAGACATTTGAAAGTAATAGTTATTACTCTTCATATTATCTCTTGGTTTAACTAGCATATAGACAAGAATTCATTTTGTCACAATGATTAATATCAGAAAGACTTAGCCAGAGCAGTTCAAGACTTTCTATTTGTCAACGCTGGAGACACTGGAGTGAATTTACCTGGCAAATGTAAGCAAACAACCAACCTCAACTCCCCAGAAAAACATACTATTTAATATTATTTCGATGACTTACTGAGCTAATCTTCCACTGTGAATAATAAAAGCTTTCCGTCTCACACCTCCTCCAAGAGGTACTACAAACAGATACCTCCTAATGGAGGTGGTGTATCTCCACCAACCTTGTTTTACAGATACCGTATATGCTGATGATACTTTCATCACAATCTTATGAACACACCCCAGAGGCTGGCTTTTTAAGAGATGTTTAAAATGCTCATCATCTTGGAATGACTTGCAGAGAAACAATTACATTACACATAGCCATGCAACAAGGCTTTGCGACCCAGTAGGATGCTAACTCTAAAAACAATCCTTTACACAGCAGGTCACTCAAAATTGTTACTTTTATTAAGTGAAGAAGTTGATTTAGCTCTCCTAAGAGCCAAATCCATTTTTCTCTTATCCACAGCGTTGCATAGTACTGCCTACAAATAAATGACCTTCGCATTTTTCAGTGAGTATACATTCTTTTGGATCATAGAAAGGACTTGGATGGTTAAGAAAACCAGAGACACTGACTAGTCATGATTACAATGCCTGGATTCCATATAGGTTTTGAAGTTATAAAATTTAACTTTACCCAGTAGCTGAAAAGGCCAGGTGGTGGCATTTCATTGTTATGAGGGATAGGTCACACACGTGAACCAGTGACCTCCCAGGAGCATCCTTCTCAGAGATTTTCAGATGCAGTTAGCACTTCTATTGCATTTTAATGGGCTCTACATGACTCTGCTTATCAAGAAGGATGATTTTTTAAGGGATGAATACTGACCACCTCTGGGTGTTGAGTCAATTCATAACATTCATTTATTCTGATATCCAGTTTCTCTCTTGGGAAAGGAGAGATCAGAATTTTTAAATCCTTCAGAAACTGCATGAGACTTATCTTTTCACATAGGCCTTACAATCAGAAATGAGTTAAATTTGGACCTCAAACCCCAGAATTTAAGCTGCTGAGTTTTGTCCTTGTGCCACTGCCCACTTATTATTAAATGACATGCTAAACGCTTGTTAAAATGAGTGTGATGTATTTAAAGGCTACGATAAGAAATGTAGAATTAGAACAATGTGTGCCTATGGCACGTTACAGTCAGCGTCTCACACTTAAATTACACTTTCCTCAGTATTATTAGAGCACTGATAAAGAAAAGTTCAGATAAAGATGAGAACAACCAAACATATAGCACCCTACTCTTCTTTGAAAAGATTCTCTCAGATTTTTAAGCATCTGGTTTATCAGTGTGAATTAGGTCAGTGCACAATTTTCTTTATTTTTCCTGGCCTTAGAATCCTCAGCATTCCTGTAGGGCACACAAGTCAAAAATACAGGTGCAGTCAAGTAAAAAGAAAGCAATCTCTTTTCTACACAAGAGAGCTTGCTATATTTCTAGAGGGACCAGGAAGTAGAAAACTGCAATTACCAAAATTACCAAGTACAAGGCAAGAAAAATATAGACACCTGCTTTCTTTTTCTTCCCTCCCTGGTATTAGGACCAGAGATGTAAATGCCACTAGGGAACTTCAACAGATACTTAAAATTACCAACAAGCCAAGAAATGCTAAGAAAATGCTATGCTATATATGCATAGTTTTGAGTAGACAACACTCAGTCTTCTCGGAAAAACACATTCGCCTGCTACTCAACACACCTTCAATTTTCTTCCATTAACAGTTTTTCAGTATGTATTTTATACATAATTAATGTGGAAATAAATCCTGCATTAACAGGGAGATGGGAAAACTCAAAGGTGTTTCAGTGTGTGATGTTCAATTCTATTCATTTTACATTTTAAAATCCTGCATTATTGGCACTGAGAAGCACAGTAGTCGTTCCCCTCACCGCTGCAATGACTCATTTCCCTCCGTGACTGGCTGCTTCTCTCTATAGGGAAGTCTTATTTTCATGTCACGCTTAAAACCATCTAAGGAGTTACAGTTCTAGCAACTTTTAGACCTTTTCCAAATTTTGTTTCAATTCCCTTGGATCAGAAGGTCCTAGATGCTCATCTTTCAAAAACTGGTACACTGCCTTTATAAATAGTAAAGAGGTGGACGGTTCTAGTCAAGGGGAAAGGAGATAGGAAACCCTTCCATTTACACCACCAGCTTTTATTCTTCTCAGCTAAGCGGAGGTGAAACATTTGAAAGTGGTTCCAAAAGTCTGAACAAAATCGGGTCGGTGCTGTCTTTAAAACCAGTCAGACCTTTAAATTAACTGAAGATGGGCACTCAAGAACTCAACTACATGGGGAATTACTAATTCTTTTTCCACTCTAGTACTTCCACAACTGGGCAAAGAAATCACCTGTTATCGTAAAGACTGAATTAGCATGTAAACTTTGAGAAGACATTTAAAAGGATCAAAATGCTATTGTGTGGTTTACAGAACAGAGCAAGCCTCAGGCAAGAGGAGGCAGAAAAAGAGGGACATAGTCACAGGTAACAGTTTGGGCAATAGGGCTTATGCCTTTAAAAAATAAAAAAAAGAAGCTGAATGAGTATTATTGTCATGTTTCCCATGGACACATTCACTTTCACTTCACAGACGATTAAGTGTATTAAACCCAGTGTCTTTAACACAAAGCTTTGTCTAAGCTCTGCCTAAACAGCATCTTCTTTGGCCACTGATGGAGACAGAATACTGGGCTGTATGGACACAGTCAGGCATCTCCAATTAATGCTGGCTGCTGTTCTGAGTGGCAGTAGACATACAGGGTGCCTCACTGTTTGCCTCAACACTTGCAAACAGTTCACTCAACTTCAATGCTTTTGTACTGGATATGTAGTAATTTCCCTGTAGTAACTTCATGTCAACACAAAAATATCTGGCAAAATAAAAAAACCAGTTGTTTTCATATACCACTAATTTTATTAGAGTACGGAATAGCCAGAAGAATAATTTAATGTACCTTGCTAGAAGAGATTTAAATAGCTACTTAAATCTAGCAAAATATTAATTAACTGCTAGCATGTAGCATAGCAAAGTTTAAGAATAAATCTCAAATTTGCTATTCCAATTCAGTAAATGTAACTGCAAGCAAAAGTCTTTAGGCTTTTCCCATGTGTCTCCTCCTTCTCCTTCTAAGTAAAGGATCACACAGATCTTCTGTGAGTTATCATCCAGCTTGGGATTATATCTTTACCTGTTCTTACATCCGGTTTCACAGACCATCAATATAAAATAGGCCTGTTCAGGTTCACTTGAAACTAGCCAAGATGTACAGGTAAAACAAAATAACCACATGCCACCCTAAAATAACACAAGAATTGGTAAACTGAGCTGTATCAAAGGTCCAGTGAATCAAGTATCCTTTGTAAGACAGGAGGTTTAAGAAAAGCTTAAAAACAAAAACAGACACACCACAATCACTCCAGCTTTTGGCAGTCAGCAACCATCTGAGATGGAGCCTCTACCATAAGCCAGGAAGTGTAGTAGTCATGGCTGTCTCTTCCTTTGCAATAAGCATAGCTGATAATGCTTAGAAACACACAAAAAGCACAGTTAAGCAAAAATAATCATATATGTCCTTGTTGTCAGTCATAACAACTTCATTTAAATCACTGGATTTGCAACAATTTGTGCCTTCCATAACTTTGGTTTTAGTATCTCTCCTGTCCATGTGGGCCCCATGAGGGGCTTTGTAAAAAATTCGCTACCTGCTATTTTAAATCAGGAATGGCCTTGCTCTTTTATCACATCGAAAGATATCAACTCTAATCCATCTTTCTAAGAATTTAAATCTATATTTCTCCTTACACCTGCTATGATGCTCCTTTCATAACCACAGGAGTTTTAATGTATGACTGAACAGACTAGATAAAGAGATTTTGTACATCACCAACAGATGTTACTGTGACATTATATCTAAGCTATTTGACCCTTAAGACATAACTGTATTCTTGTGCTCTGGCAAGCTAGGATGCCAGCTGAATTCCAGCATTGATTTACATGACATGTACTGTAGCTGCACTGAAAATTCAGGTTTCCTCCTTGTAACAGTATTCTTCAAGAGAGATGCATCAACTCTCCAACTGAGAGTGTAGTTAGTTACATTAGTACCAATGTAGTTAGTCACAAAACTGTTCTGTTTTATCACACTGCTATTACCATTTTTATTTATATCGCTTCACAGCCACAGTCACAGATCAGGGGTCCACTTGGCATGCAACTAATAGACAACTAATGTCAAATTCCTGTCTTACCATCCTAGAACTTGGATGGTAAACTGCCTGATGTAATTGTAGCAGCAGGTTTTTCTTTTTCTTCCTGTTTCTATCCCTGTTACTCTTCACTCTCACTGATCTCTAGCAACTGCATAACAATCTCCTTCCAAAGTCCTTCTCCTCGATCACTTGAATACCCATTTCTCCTCTGCTGGCTGGTGAGCATTATGAAGAAGAATCACACCAGTTAAATGCCAGGCATTTTTCTCCCTTCTTTTCTTACCAAGAGAGAAGAATGTTAGTTATGGGACCTGGGAGGGGAGCTGGGATGATTCTTCCTTCTCCCTACTACCAGACTTCTAGCTTTTGAGCAAAACAGGTTTACAGATTGTGCTGTTGGTCATCGTTCTCCCCCCACAACACATAAATCAGTTCTCCCACATTCAGCAGCGATACAGGAATATGGGAGATAGTTCAGCTCCTATTGGTCTCAGGGAGTCAGGTACAGGATGGTGACCTCCAGGAGGACAAGCAGAGCTCAGCTGCTAGCATTGCTTTTGGCAGCAGACAACTGCAAGTCAGCCACGGTGTCCAAATGGCTGATCAGCCAGACATCAATCAGCTCAGCCACCCACAGCATGCACCGTTTGTGCTGCTAGAAAGGGGAAAGCAGGGAACCACGTAGAACCCTGTTAGTGGAACTCAGGAGACGTCACTCATCTGAGGCCTCACTACTCCTGTGCTCATGGAGTAGCTTCTTTTGTGGTGGTGTGGTTTATGTCTGCACGTGGTGCCTGCCTGCTCTAACCTCATCCCTTCTCTTTTTTCATCACTTACACAACACACTTTGGTCCTTCTCCCTGTTTCAGATATTTGCCACTTAAAGGCATCATGCTCTTTTACACCTCTGCCAAAAAAAAAGAATGAGGCTGCTTGTATTTTGGTAGTTATAGTCTGGTTATTTTCTGAGGACGGAAGAAAAGGAGCAGTTGAATGCAGGAGCAGAACTTTGTGGAAACTCATTAATGACCTACATTATCCCACCAGATTTTTATTGCTCTAAAACAATTAGGAAGATTAATGTTGTCATCCCCATTTTAGAAGCTCTGACATATGCATACATGCTAGAGTATTTTATAAAGACTAATGTAGTTTTCTGCCTTAAATACAGAAGACCTTTTACAAATAACAGTTTTATATTTCTCCAACAAGATATAATCCACAGTGAAATGTATATTTGCATGAATAGCCTTGATCCGTTAGGGGAAAGAAAAAGGATTTAGTCAGACGAGACTTGCACATTTCTGATATTAATATGCAGACTTAACCTAAGAGGCAAATAATTCAAAAGCATTACTGTAGTCATCATTAAAATGCAGAACGCTGCATTGTCATTATATGGCTTACAAGCAGTAAGTTTTTTTAATAACCCACAAAATCCTCTGGTCTCCCTAATACTCAGGCTTTTCCTCCCCCATTTCTGCAGATAATGCTAGCATCCAGGTGATTTTTCTTGATTGCTGATTCACAGTTATTCACCTTCCTATTTTGTGAATTCCCCTTACTTGCTTTCATTATTCCACTGCGTTGCTCCAGACACCTGAGACTTGGCTCATGCCTAATCTAGATTTCTCCAAGTGCCCTGGGGTGGGGAGCAGGGCTCCAAACCCCCGCCACCGGGCTAACATCACAGATGTCCTCTGCCCAGTCCTTGCATGAATCAACCCAACTCCTTCCCCACCTACCCCCATGCTCAAATAGAGATCCGAAGATATTCTCACTTGCAAATCTACATTAGGAGAGGGGGGGTTACAAAGGATGTGCACTGGTAAGAAATTACTTGTGTTCCTAACACGCTTCATAATAAGGCATGTAGACACTTTATAGCACAGAAGTATAAGATAATATGATCTATGCTGCCTTACAGGTAGATTTTATGGATTACGAACTCCAAAATTATGTTTAAGAATCATCCTTACTGATTTTGCAGCCAATATCCTACACGCTACCTTGCCTGTGCAACAAGGTGGCCAATTCTAGAAGCATGGCTACCTGATAGGCAAGGAATGGAAGGGAAATTCAGGGGGATGTACACACCTCACACTGCCCTATGGTCCTTTGCAAATCTCTGTCTAGAATCATCAGTCCATAGCTGTTTTGAAAGCACTGTAGACTACACTCAAAATGAGTTTCACTCTGTACTACAATGTATCTCAGTATTAGTTTTTTATTTTAGAATTAATCAGGTACAAAGCCTTCTATTGATAAGCAGTTACTTTGAAAAGTTTTTTATATCAGCCTCCTTTTCTCAGTGTCCAAATTTATAGTCTTTAAGGTGGCTTATGAAAGCTACTTTCTCATAATCAGCAAGCCAGTTGCTAAAGCTCATTTCCCTTCAGCTCGCAGTAAGGTGTGGGTAACTTTGCTCTCCTGATGTCTTCTACTCCAAAATCCACCTCCAATGCTTCTAGGTTAGCTTTCAAATCATTTATCGGAACACGTACGCTGAAAACATCCCAGACTGCAGCTGGCCTATTATCAGCAACAGTAAATGGTGTGAATTTCATGGCAGGTGGTGTTATGTTACTGCCAATTTTTTACAATTTTTAAACTCTACCTATAAGAGGCTCAGCTTCACTGTCAGTGCTGAGGTTTCCAGGTACTGTGGCAGTATTTCCAATAGATCCCTGTAACAAGTGTGACATTATGCAATAGGATCACAGATGTAAACTCTTTGCCAGCCATAGCTCCGGAAATACATTTACAATTTTATCAGGTAGAAATGAGCCAGTTTGAACTTGGCACCCAAAGACATTTTTTCCCAGCCCACCTGTGGTGCTGCAGAAGTTACTACCCAACAGCCAGCCCCAAGCTGCTCACCACTGCGTCCCTGCTGGGTGCTCTGACCACAGCTGGCAGGCAAGCCCTTTCCTTCACGGTCCCTGGAAAAGCTGTTCTCTGCCTCCCCAAATCTCTCCTGACTCTGTAAAGCTAAAGAACTCTCCCCAAACCCTTGCTGCTTTTGCTCTCTCCATTTTTCTTTCTTTTTTTTTTTTTTTTTTTTTAAAACGCTCTACTGTATCTTTAAATGTTTGAGGCTCCAACGTTTACAAAATTCTTCAACACCAAACTGAGACAACACGGGCTTCTCTTCATTAGTGTGCCATTTCTATTTCTGAGTGCTCATCAGAAGAAAAACGGACAGTTTTTCATTTCATAGTAGAAGAAACAGGATAGAGTGAGTTGCATTTATTTAATGCTAAAAGATTATTAAATTTAAGTTTCAGGGGCTGATTCACACTTTGCAGGTAATTCTGCAAGTGACTGAAAATGTTAAGAGCTATATTCAAACGATGTTTTTAGGAATAATTTTCAAAGCTCAGTTGTGTTCTGCAAACATCTTGGTATTATAAGCAGGCTCCTTCCTTCTTTGTACACCCTTATTTTTAATGCATCCCTATAATAAGGAAAACCCAATTTTCAATATTCTCTCAGTCATAATGTGATGATATATTGGAACTTAACAACTGACCATAGTAATCTTAGTGGGGCAGAGTATACAGCAGCTGTGATCACACAAGCAAATTTTTTTATACAATAGACCCTAAAGAAAGAACAAAATATACTAGTCTGTGTCTGTGAAACCGAAGCAAGCTATATGGAAGCACTGAAAGTTTTCAGATAAAAAGGTGTATGAGGTTTTTATTAGATTTATAAAGGTTATTGAGTTACAGAAACACATGGTCAAACACAGTCACTACTGAACAAAACCCAGCCACAGAATTGGTGCTTTTGTTAGCCAAACTGTAGATAAGAGAGAGTCATGAGGACTGAAATAACCTTTCACTCCTGAATGAACCCTGCATATAGCGGCTGATGCACCACAGCGGGATGATTTGGTTAGGTTTGTATCACCATGCATAATGCTATATAGGTTAGTTTGTTGGAGAATTTGATTTATTTAAAAAAAAAAAATCAAACCAACAGTTATTTTTACACATACATACAGACAAACAAAAAAGGTGAGGGGGAAAAAATTGCCAAGAGTATCTCTCCTATTGGAATATTCTGCTTTTACTGTGATATCAGAATTACTTTCCAGCCTACACCCCTACAATAAACATCCTTTGTTGCAACAAAGTAACACATCATACCTTTTTCTGCCTTGCTTGTGTTACGTTTTTCAAGTAGGAGGTAACGAGGACTTTCAGGAAGAAAAGGCAGAATCACAACTTGAATCAATGAAGGAACAATGATCGCTCCGAATAAGTAAGGCCACTGAGGTTCCTGCAAATGGATGCAAACAGAAGTCAGTAATACTCTCCCATAGTGATACTAGGAAGAAAAATAGAATTGACAGGAAATGCTGTAACTTTTCATCATTCAACATCTTGTGTCAGTGAGCAGAGTGGTGTCTTCTGCCAGAGCTTAGTAAGCAGTTTGAACACTTCCCCCTCAGATCACCTTTCTCAAGGGCCAAGGACAGAATTCAAGCCATCAAGTGACTGAGCATGGAAAGACAGAGGCAGGGAAGCTGGAAAACAGCAATACATAGCATGTTTTTCCTTTTGATCAGCATTAACAACTATACATGTAAAAATATGACATCTACTCAAATATATATTCTACAAGTCATCCCCACTCGCAGTGATATCACTTATTAGCTTTGAGAAACTGTACAACACTATTTTCATACAGTTACATACACATGTAACTATTTTCATATAGTTACATATACCTGCATGTTGTCTCTTTGTCTAATCTAACTGATCTAAAAAAAAAAAAAACCAAACCCATATATATATATTTATTTGGCTCAGTCCTCTGATTGTCATAGTATGGGTAAAATCCTGATAACACTTCAGATAATCTGCAGTTTAGCACAGTTTTGTGGTTCTCAGTGTAATGCAGGCAGTGACCATTCAGCATTTCACAGCTGCTGGGAATGAACCAAGTCGGGCTGAGGTCTCACCACAAGCCTCTTCTCATTGGAAAAACACAACATTTGCCTTACAGGTACAACTAACACACAGCTGGGCAGTCTTCATTTCCATTCAGAAAAGAAGACATATACAGCTCAATGCAATTAGAGTGGAAGCCAGCTATATGATTTAATGACAAACAAGATATCTGGCTAACCCAAGAGAGGTTATCTTTATAAATGTTTTCTCTTGCAACCATTGATTCCACCTCTTAAGCTGGTTTCCATGCTAATTTAAGTATAAAAAATTGTTTCACCTATCCACCTGCCCCAAATCATAGAATATCTCAAGTTGAAAGGGACCCATAGGGATCGTCAAGTCCAACTCTCTGCTCCTTGCAGGGCCACCTAAAACTAAACCATACGACTAAGAGTATCATCCAGACACTCCTTGAACTCTGACAGGCTTGGTGCTGTGACTACTTCCCTGGGAAGCCTGTTCCAGTGACCGACCACCCTCTCGGTGAATCACAGGATCTTAAAGACATTCTTTGGTTCTATGATAGTGTAACTACGAATAATACATTATACTATCTTCCATTCTGAATTAGCTAACCTAGCTCAGATGTTCAAATGAAACACTGACAGCCCTGTTCCCAAGTCCATGAAACTAGAAAGTACTTTTTCTATTGCCTTGCAAGTAATCTGCTGGAAGTCTCCAGCAAGGACCTGAAACATGAGAGCCATCTGCAGCATCCCCACCAATGCAAAGCACTGATGACCCCTCTCTGGCAAGTCCCCCCTACAGAAGCCAGGCAGTTTTAACCTGCCAGAGCCCCACCATGGTGTAGGTGAAGAGCACAAGGTGCTGCACTATCCAACACTACATATATGAACCTGCTCAACTGCTAGCAGATTTCAGATACAACTTGACTTCGATAATCTTCTCTGAAATCAACTGAAACAAAGTTGTTTACATCCTCAAACATATTCATTATTTAAAACCAGCTACAGAGGGCAACATGAGCAAAGCTCTTTCAGAAAAAGGCTGGGAAAGGCAGTAGAGAGCTCAATCTCTCTGGGCTTACTCTCAAGACAGAATACGTTCAAGCAGCTGAAGGAGAAAGGTGCCAGCAGTATTATTTACTCCTGCAAAATGGCCCTCAGTCTGTCCATGTTCTTAAGATGCCTTCTATTCCAATTGAAAGTCGATATGAAATTTTTTAGTCGTTTTCTCCAAGTTCAGCATTCATCTATTTAATTCAATGTTTTCTAATTTGAGACTTGGTTCTTAACTGAAAAGCCTGCTGAGACTTCAGTGGGCCTACTGTTCAGGCATCACGTCTAGCACATTTTCAAAAGCTTGGCTAGATCAAAAGCAGATTGTGCTGCATCCTGGCTGACTGAGCTCCGAGAGGCACCGGGGGTTTGGATCCCGTCCCTCCATCAGAATGAATCCATCCATTCAGAGCCCACATTTCCCCAAACAGAGCTGGATAAATTTTATTCCAATATCATTTTCCACAGTTAAATCAAAGGTCAAAAGCCCCCAAACTACTTTCTGTTGATAGTTTTTATTTTACATTCTCCCACTTCAGCAATGCAACTGCTAAAACACAACTTACTGCACGGTACAGGATGTAATCCAAGCCTCGAACCTGAACTGGGGCCTGAGATAACTTAATAACATAGATTATGCAGGGTATCTCCTAATAAAACTTTTCACCCTTTAAGTGACAGTTGGGTTTTTTTTGTTTTAAATCTCCTGGCATGGGAAAACAACTTGAGAAAGGGATTTTTTCAAACAATTTAAAGCTCAAGCTTATCAGTCTTCCTTAGAGCCCCCATTACCATGAGGCCTTCAAGATCATATTTCTTCATTCTGAATTTTATTTTTTTTTTTAAATGCAGTTGAGTGGAGAACTTTACCTAATATAGGAGGACCAGGAGTGGTTAACAATCCATTTACAAACAAATGAGTCTCAGTCTTATTTTAAAAGTTAGAAAATTAAACTTATGGTAAGACTTCAAGATCAGTTAATAAATCACATTAAAAAATAGGTATCTGTTTGTAAAGAATAACTTAAGAAAACATGCAGCACAACTGATCAGTTTTCGTCTATGTCTCCCTGGAATCAGATACTGCTTTCATACAAAGTAATTTAAAAATGTCATTGTTTTATTTAATCTCTATCATTATTTCCTATAATATAAATACACTTGTCATGTACCATATAAAAAAGTTTATAAGGCTTTAGAACTTTTTACACTACTTCCAGATAAAAATCTTACTCTTGATTAGCACATCATATTTACTGTACCTTTTTTTGCACAATGCCAAGGACACTTTTTAAAGGAGGAAAAGAAAAAAAGTCTCTCCTGTATATTGTTGTTAACATTCTGCCAACCTATGGAGACTTACTTGGAATAAGCTTTCACCCCTTTTAAAGTATCCCATAGTGTATGGTTTTTCAGTTGGTCACGTTTCTCTCAAATAACTCTTCTGAAAAAGTGTTATTTTGAAAAAACGATGAACAAGACTGAACTTCTGAACTTACACTTCGCAAAAAATAACAGACCCTGACAGTATAATAAAAAGCCCTCTATTTTCACCACATAAGACACTGAGCTTCCTTTATTTCCTCTATAAAAGATTTCTGATTTACTTTTTATTATGCTGACTTTTAAAATCTTAAAGTCAAGCAATCATAAATATGCTCCCACTTGCCATTGCTGGCATGAGTTGATCAGTAAGTCACTGAAGTGACTTCAAAAGTTTTCAGATGAGACCTACTCAATGCTTTAGAACATGCATTCTACTTGCTTTTCTCTTAATTTACATTATTCACGTTCAAATTCTTCATCCCACTACAAAAAAGAAATAGGAGGACTAAAATGAGTCTAAAAGGTCCATACATTTCTTGGTCTGAAAGTATAAAATACAAATTGCTGAAAATCAAGCTGAATTAGACCCTGCAAAGAGCATTAAAAGAAGCCGGGAAAAGAGGGGTTCCCTAACATTTTTAAGAGGGAATAGGACAAGACACAAACTGGGACAATGCTCAGAAGCAATAATAAGGTAAAGATAGAAGACAGCGTAGGCATGACTTAGAAGACACATTAACACTTCCCCTCAGTTGTCATCAGTAAGAAGCAGCACACAGGCACTACTGAGGGAAATGAAAACAACTGCATCCCATTTTATCTCAGGAAAAACTTAAAAGAGCATGAAATATTTTAATTACAGGGGACCTGACTCATCACCTGCTCAGAATTGGTACAAATAACATGTCAAGATGGTAAGATTTTAATTTTAAACTGTCACATTATGGATATTTGCTTAGGCTGGAGCATGAAAACCCCAGCTTTGGTCTATTTACAAAAGACAGTTAAATAGAAGAGCGAGTTTGACAACCACAGACTCATTCAACAATTGATATAATAAAGTGCAAAGCTGCAGAAACACAAGGTGGGGGGAAAAAAAAGGAAATTGATAAAGCACAACATGGATGTCCTGCCAGACAGGCCCTCCTCTTAGGGAAGCCTGCTGCCTCCCTGGGGCCCAGGTTAAGGACATCCCTAGGAAACTTCCTAGCCTCGTACAGCCCTTGGACTATTATCCATTACTGCTCTTCCATGTGGGTGGCGATGAAGCGGCAACACATAGGCCAAAGGCAGTCAAAAGAGACTTCAGGGCCTTGGGACGGTTGGTAAGGGAATATGGAGCACACATTATTTTTTCCTCTCTCCTTCCAGTTGCTGGCAGCGACATTGGAAGAAACAGACAGGCCCAGCCTATTAATACATGGCTCCATGGCTGGTGTCACTGGCACAATTTTTGTTTTTTTGATAATGGGGTGGCCTACATGGCACCAGGCTTGCTGGCGTCAGATGGGATCCACATTTCTCAAAGGGGGAAGAGCACCTTTGTTCACAAGCTAGCTGGGCTCATTGACAGAGCTACAAACTCGACTTGAAGAGGGAGGGGGATCATATCAGCCTTGCCCATGACAAGCTCTGGGATGACACATCAAGTTTAGAGGGACGAGGTGCTAGCAAGGGCCCTCAGCCTGCTGCTCTGAGATGTGCTGGCTACACTGCAGTACGCTTGAAGTCTTATGGAGATGAGCCAAGGGCTCCTGAGGTAATAGGAGCCAATAGGGAAAACCCAATGAAATACCTCACAGGAACTAAGGGATGTTCCTCTAAGAAGGTGACACTGCCGACAGCCCAGCTGAAGTGCCTCTACACCAATGCATGCAGCATGGGCAACAAACAGGAGGAGCTGGAAGCCACTGTGCTGCTAGAAAGCTACGACCTAGATGCCATTACTGAAACTTGGTGGGATGAATCCCATGACTGGTGT